AAGTGCTCGAATCATGTTGGCAATAATTCAAGCTTGCTTTTCAGATGCAGTCCTGTGGCTGATACTGTTTTCTGTTAGTCATAAAGCATGTACACTCCAAAGCACCTGGTGTATGTGAAACCTATTGGTGTCTGGCATTTGATGGAGTCAATTATTTGTCTTGAAGTGTAGAATAGTTTCTGATTCTCTCTTAGTAAAGTGTATAAAATAAAAATATATGGCACTTACATCCAGAAGTAAGCAGCAGAAATGTTTGTTTCCTATCAGAAAACTGTTGCTGTTCAGAGGATGAGGTTCTGTCTGAAGACCACACTTGTAAAATGGCAGCTAGCATGTCACTAACCTGCAGATTACATCAATTCCAGTTGTCTTAGGCAGATTGGTTAACCTCTCTTTAATTTCTTTAGATAATGTTGTCATGTGCTTCTATATCTAAAGCACAGTTTTAAATACTAATTCACAAAATACTTTGTTCTTTTCATCTGCTTCCATGTCTTTCCCTTGGAGGAAAATGTCAAATTACACAGAGGAATTTTTGGTGATGGGCAAAACAACTCCCAGTTCATTCTGGACAATGTGCCTTTTCATTTTTATAACTGTGTGTTAGAAGATGTCTATTGGATGTGCTTAGATTGCAATCGTTGGATCTTAAATAGTCTTTTTGTACCTGCTTTGGGTTTTCATGTTCAGAGGGGTTTTATTAAGCATTAATTGATGTCATTTCTTTGCATTGACTATGTCCTAAGATAAAATACTCTTTTTGCCAGTTAATAAAAGTATCTTATCAGGTTTCTTTTCTTCTTGGGCTTTCCGGTCTGCGTTCATCTGGTCACTGAACCTGCATTACAGACTGAACGAAAGGGAGCAAATATCCTCTAAAACGATGGGGGGAATGGTAGAACAGCAGCCAGAGAAGTTATTTAATAGATTTATCTGTTTCTGAATTCTGAGTAACTCTATGGGCAATAATGTGTACTGCAATACTATCAACTATGTTTTGATTATATTTCAAAGTGAGGTAGCTGTTTCATCTTGGAGGAGTGATAAGGTTTCCAAGGCCAGCAGACTGAACTTCTAATGTGAAGCTACTTTAGAACACTGATGTCCTTAAAAGGAAAGGAAGTGAAGCTGCTGCTTAATATTTGAATGCTGTCTGTGGGAAGATGTTTTTGAGGCTTGTCTTGCTAGTTGTTTGAGTTTTGGAGCCAGATAGTGTTCTTCCTGGGATTTCAGTAAAACCCATGATTGATATTTTAATGAAATAGTTGAGGTTGTATATGGTATTTAAGATTTCAGCAGATCAATCAGTGGTGGATATTACTTGCAGAATGTTGAACCTGGATTAGAAAACTTAAGGAGAAGTTAATTTAAGCACTACAAGAAAAACCATAGGAATGGTTATGTATGTTTAAGACTAATTTGCCAGCTGCTCAAAATCAAGTTAATCAGGTATGCATGCTTTGACAGTAAAATGAAGTTATCTGAATGCAAGAGGCGCTGATTCTCGTGTTGTTCTCGGTCTTTTTCTCATGTGAAATGAGAAACACCTGTTAGGACAGCTTTCTGTTTCTTCATGGTGCTTGAAAGGTGTTTGCTGCTGTTAGTTTTTGTCATCTCCAAATGTGATGGATCAAAGCAACTTTAAAAAGTAACTTTGAAGGACTGGCCCAGCATGTTGAGCTGGCTTTCCGGTGCAGTGCGCCTAGCTGAAGGCTTACAAAACATGCTGCTGGATGTGATTTTAGATCATTTTTCTTTGTGTACCATTAATTGTTAACGCAGAATTTTAACCTTTTTAAAAAATCCCATGACATTTAGCTGTCTAAGCAACAAAAAGTTCTATTGAAGGGAGAAAATTGTTCAAAAGGTATTTTATTTGTGATTATTAACTGAACGTCCTAAGGCAATTTACTTGAAACAAATGGTCTTTTAATTAAAAAAAATAAAATAAAATAAAGAAATGTGGGGATGAGGGAAAAAGTTCTTCCTCTCACTTGGTTATCTGTCTCCTCTAAATCTCCGCTATGTTCCTGTGCCCGAGCCTGTCTCTACGTAAATGAAGCATTCAGTGGTTTGGCTTTGCTCTCACAGAAAGATTTAGTGGTGTTTTTGATGAAGGATCTTCTTACGTATGTGATTCAGGCAACTCAGATGTGCTCTTTCCCTGCTTGTGGGGTACCAGGGAGATGTAGGGCATCCCAGCAGATTACTGGGAGTCTCTTGCAGCTGTATCCCACCAGTTGAGAGCTGGGAATCTGCAGCTTTGCTGCTTAATTTCTGTTTTGGATTTTTACCGTCTGCTCTTCAGAATGGGTGTTGTGTCCTAGTTCAAATCGGCAAGGCCTGAACTCTCTTGAAACACTTCTTCTGGATGAGCTTTGCCCAGAGGTCATGCCCTAGGTCTCAGTGTACGCCTGGCCAGGTGCTTTTTGGCACAAGGACTGAGGGCAGCGGGTTGTGTTACCTCCAGCAGAACGAGGGAGATTAAAGGAGGAGAAAAGAGGTGGCAGGAAGGCCTGGGGCACAGCCTGCTACAAAAAAAACACAAACACAAAACATGCAGTCTTCTGTTGGTGGACATCTGTATCTTGGAATTTTTCTGGTCCTTCTCCTGGGAGCCTATGGAGAGCGATGCAGGTTTTGTTCTGTATTGTCACCCAGGCTGGGTGAGAACACAAGTGACGTCTGATGCTGTTGGAGGAAAAGGACTGTGCAAATGCTGTCAGATGAGCAGGGCCTATTGTCAAAGTAATACATTCTAAGATAAGAGTTACAGAGACTAACTCATTTATTGGAACTTAATTTTTTCATCTTTGAAATAGATAAAGTGAAAAATAGATTTATCTGGGTAGCATAACTCTTACTGGTGGTGATAGGAAAATTGATTATATAGCTGGGGACCAACAAAGCGAGCGCTGTTCTTATCACAGCAGACTTGTATATTGAGTTGCATTGTGATTTAATGCAACAGATCAGATTAAGCTCTCCAGCAATGCTATCTTGAGTATGCTTTGCTGTGCAGCAGACTTTGAAAAATAACTCAAGCAGAGTGACTCTGTGTTTTGGCACGGCACTTCTGTCGGGTAGAAAGGATAAGGAAGGGCTGAAAGGTGCTGGGACTGGACTCAGTGATCCTTGTGGGTCCCTTCCAACTCAGGATGTTCTATGATTGTGGGCAGTAACGGGGCAGTGCGGATGAAAATATATCCGGGATGTGCTTTAGCCTATTGTCAGCTGTTCCTAAACTGGGAAACCTCTTCCAGCTGTATGGTAAGATAGAGTTCATGTGGAGGATGAGGGAGGCTGAAGAAGTGGCTCAGCATCTTGAAATCCTCCTGCTGAGCTGCAGGTCCTGCGTGAAGCCGGGTGATGGGTGGCTGTGGCTCAGGGCTGAGGACAGGCCTGTGCAGCCCTGCAGCTTTTCCCAGTGTGCCCCATGGCCAGTGGGTTTGTGGTTGGCTCGTGGGGTTTGTTCGGTTGTTTCCTACTCTGTACTTAAAAACTTTTAACCTTAGTGCTAAAGAAAAATACCATTGTCTATTAGTATGACTGGAACGAAAGATGAATTGCGAGTTAGCCTTGAGCGAACTGTCAATCTGACTTTGATAGCCCATCACTTAAAAGGTCCTTTTATGTTTATGAAAAAGCATGACGTCAAAGCTAGGGGAAAAAATACCAATTCTTAAGGCTAAACTTGCATGGCTCCAAGAAGAGCTCTTGTGAACTGTTTGTTTCTCTACATGCGTGGCTAATTAGCGTAGGTTACTATAAGTCTGGGCAGTGGCATTCAAGTGCTTCTGGTTTGGGGCAGCTTTTTCATGGTGCTTCCATGCATGAGTCTCTGACTGGAGTAGCATAAAAGAAAAGGATACTGCAGTCACTTCTCTCACAGTTGTATAAGTATTATGCTGGAAATGCTTGAGTATAATCATTATCAGGTGAGTTGTTATTTGCAGACTTACTTTAAAACCTGTTGCTAAGAAGGCTTAAATATACAGGAAATCCTTTTCCTCTGATGTCTAGTATGCTTTATTTAATTTCTTCCACAAAAATGAATGGGGGACATGCGTGGTCAGTTGTAATGGCAATAGAAGCCGCTTTAATAGAACTTTTCAATCCAAAAAACATTTCAGAGTATTATTATATCTCAGTTTTTCTACCTTTTGATATTGCCGCTAATGATAAAAGAAACATAATAGCGTTTCCAAGATATAGGTGAAATTTTTTGCATGAAAAATAAGAGCTTTCTTCTCTTGCTTACTTAAGGAGAACGACAATAGTTCAGTGTGATGGATACATTTACAAATGTAAAATATGGAATATTTTATATTATGCTTGATTTGACCTGAGACGCTTCTTGTCTTGCATTGTATTTGTGTAATGTGTTGTTAAACAGACTGTCTTAATGACTGTATATGATCTAAGCCATATATCTGAGAGATGAATAATCTGGAGGCAAAAATTCTTCTTTTTTTTTTCTCCAAATAATGCATTTGATATTTAAAAAAAATGGAACGTAAACTAAATGTAATTTGTTCTTTAGTTCAAATTTGATAACGGATAGCAATTGATCCAATTTGATTTTAGTTGGTGGCTTTCAACGCGTAAAATGAGTCCTGCTATCCTGCTTATTTCTCTACATTTGTGTAAAAATATGTGTCGTGTATCTGAAGGTCTAAACAGAGAAGTGCCATTCCTGGAACATCTGTGTAAACTGGAAAGCCCAAGCATGGATTTTAAGTAATAAATCTTGTTATTTAGAAGAGTAATTGGAGCTTGTTGGTTTACCATTAAGACAGTTGTTGAAACATTATCTCGTAAACTCATTCTTTGCCACTGAATGTGAATTAGCGAAGCGCTGAGTTCCTTGGAACGGCACGGGTTTGTACTTTGAATCAAATGCTGCTGGGCTGGTGTATGTCACAAACATATAGCCCAGCTTGGTTCCACGTATAATTACGCTGTAAAACAATAAAGCTCTCTTAACTCCTGTCATATAGGTGCAGACTCACCTTGAGAATCCAACCAAGTACCATATTCAGCAAGCCCAGCGGCAGCAGGTAAAGCAGTACCTCTCTACCACTCTAGCAAATAAACATGCCAACCAAGCCCTGAGCTTGCCATGTCCAAACCAGCCTGGTGATCATGTCATGCCGCCTGGAACTGGAAGCAGCGCACCCAACAGTCCAATGGCTATGCTCACCCTCAACTCCAACTGTGAAAAAGAGGTAATACACTCTCATTGTGTATGTTCTTTGCTGAAATGGAATCTCGTTCTGCCTTCTTTCTGTTTCGAACCGTATTTGCTCATCGTTGGGTTATGTTTGGCTCATTTTCTGAACTGCTTCACTTGAAAATGTGATTGCTACTTCCCCGTCTCCCTGGTGAATATATTTGTATACAACGTTTGGGCAGAAAAACTGTCTGTAACTTCCTCCTCTGTGAACTATTTTATCTACTTTATGCTTATTAAAACTTTTTCTTCTCACTTGCTTGATGCACACAATGAATAATTGAACTTTGGAGAGTACAAAGCAGTTTTGTAAGCTGTAGCTTTCTGGAATAATGTTATTTATGGCTCATTCACTATAAAGAGAGCAAAGAACACAAATAATAACTGAAAAAATCAGATCTTTTTTGGTGAGATTTTTAAAGTGTTTCTCGAAATTTTTGCAGTAAAACCTGAACAAGTCTCTTGCTTAGCTGGAATACCAGATGATCTCAGCTAACACGTCCTTAGATGTTACTGATTTGCTGTTTTGATGCTCAGTGCTGCAAATATGAGACTTCTCTAGCCTATGCGCAGAAGTCTTTCTCCATCTTAATCTTTGCTGGCAAAAACTGAGCTGGATATTTTATGTGCTCAGGTGCAGAAGGGAGATTATGTGAAAGATAACAGCAGTTACAAGAATCACGTTAATAATTTTGCATCTCGACAAACAAGAGAATTGTAGAGCTGCCCTTGTCCCCAAACTTTTATGCTGGAGTTTTAATACAGATGCACTCTGTGCTAAAGGAAAACGTTATCCAGCTTAGAAAAATGGTTATTACAAAATTGTTTTCACACACCAAGGGAATGTACTTGTGCTCCATGGCTTCAAAAGAAGTGAAAATCAAAGTTCCATCTCAGTTGTACCCAAATAGTTTTTTTCCTCAAGTTATTTACAGCCTTGCTTTACTGTGTCATCAGGCCCATGTGTGCATGACAACATTTAAATTGTGCTCTTTTTGGGACTGAGACTGTGCCATGAACTCAGATCCATGCTTTGCTTTTTTTTTCTTTTTTTTCCTTTTTATTTCTGCAGGGATTTTATAAATTTGAAGAGCAAAGCAGGGTCGAGAGTGAGTGCCCGGCTCTGAATACCCACTCACGAGCATCATGCATGCAGGTACTGGATGACACAGGACTTGGAGCACTGAACACTTTCTGATGAGAATATTTATTTGAAGTGATGATAAGCACTAAACTTGCCCAGTAAGGTTTTTAAGAAGTTGAATGTAAAACAATTAAAAAAACATTCTTAAATTATAAATCTGCTGTATCCTTGCATATTAGCATCAACAACCTGAAAAAACTTAATGCTTTTCTAGAACTGTAGTGCTACAGCAGAATAATAATATCAAGCATGCTTTAGGATCTTATTCCAGGAAGTTTTCCTAAATCAGTTTTCCTGAAATTGAATATATATGTTGCTGCCTTGATAGTTTGGAAGACTCCATTTCTGTGTAATTTATGCGCTTATGGGACAGAAACAGCTTTAATCGATCTGTGATGGGTTGTCTTTTTTTTACTACTTATTTCTAATTATTATTTTGAGCAGAATGGTTTTTATTCTAGTTGCAAGACTTCAGATGGGGTGTGCATATCGATTCTTTTCTTGCCCTCACTTCCAGCCAGTGTTGTTCATTCTTGGCAATACCTTCCTGAGCTGATTTGAAAGCCCCCTAAACTACTATTTCAATCATCAGTTTTGCTTGTTTTATTTTTTACTGTCATTTAAGCTCCTTTTTCTGCATAGAGAAAAAAGAAATAGGCAATCTGAAAAGACAACTCAGAGCATCTCAGTGGGTGCTTGAAAGACAGTGTTTCTCCAGACTGTGCAGGATCCTGCAGGAGAATCTTCCAGAAGATTGATTGCATCACATAGAATTATCACTGAGCTGCTCTTGGATAGTGCTTCCTGGGAGGGCGTATTATGTCAAATAGACTCCACTGTTGAAGAAGGGCAGCCTTTCACCAGCAATCCTTAGTTTTTATTTCCTTCCCCCTGAGAATACTGGGGCCTCCAGCATTGCTGTACATGGGTTTTTACCCCACGCTTTGGTTGAGACCGAAGGCGGGCAGGCAGAGCTGGAGCCCTGTGTTTGGTGATGGGAAAGTGTTGGGACTTACGCAAAATCAGGGAAGTGTGTTTCACGCTCTGTATGACTCACATGAGCCTCAATATTCTGTGCTTTTCCTGGTAGGAACAGCTTGTATAATAATCTAGTAACTGCTGATTGGAGGCAGAGGTTAGATCATGAAGCCTCAAGCTTTGTCGTGGTCTGGCTCCCTGGCTGGATAGTGGGATTGGATTTGGAGTATAGCAGAGTGGCAGAAACCTCCTCTGCTTTGGCCCAGGCTGCAGAGAACCAGCACGTTGCTGAAGTGCTCTGTTAGACCTTTGTATCTTGTTGGTTAACCATTTTGTAAGTTTTATTGTTTTTATATAACTTTTATTTTTTCATTGTTTCCCCTTTACTGCTGCAGATGGATGATGTGATCGATGACATAATTAGTCTGGAATCAAGTTACAATGAAGAAATCCTTGGCTTGATGGATCCAGCCTTGCAAATGGCAAATACGGTACAATGGTCCTTCCCTTTTGCTTTGCTTGTTAAGCCTAGCTGCTGCTTCTGAAGAGAATGCAAAACTAGTCTAACTTCTTTTTCTCTGAGCAATTTAGTAGTAGTTATCGTGCTGTCCTGTAGCGAGGTTCTCTTTGAGAATGTTAACATACACAGTTGCAGTGAAAAACATGAGTTTAAAAATGCAGGCTGGAGTCAGGAAGAAGGAATACAACAGACAATTTTGTTTTTCTTATTTCAAATTCAAGTTAGCCAGTGAGAAGATTGTAGTGAGTGAATTGAACTAACAGAAATAAGCTTATGTCCACTGATGTTTATGGATGTGTTAATGGACATCAGAGTTGACTTCAGGAAACCTGGAAGGAACCTCTGGTGCCCCATGTGTGAACGTAAGAAATTGAATGCTACACTTAAGCATGTTTTAGCATCCTTGTCCAAACCTGTTGTCATGCCACTGAAGCTTTAAGATCATATCCTTAGCTTAGCCTGATTCCAAGTGAAGACCCTAGTTAGATGACAACAAACATGGTACAAAATTTAAACAAAAAAAGAACAAATGAACATTAAAAAAAAAAAAAAAAGGCAAAGAAAAACCTCAAAACAAATCAAAGGTGAAGGAATAAAGCTTAAAAATTGAACAGGGGAGGAAGGGGTGTAGGAAACCTGGGACAGAAGGCAAGAGTGCGGAGATGTGCAGGTTGGTGAGCAAGGGAGGGTGGCATGCTACCTCCAAGTTGCCATTTCTGTTTGCTATTTCACATTGCTGCGAGCATTAACATAATCGTACTTCTGGCATAATCTTATTTTGATCTTTTGTGGGGGTAGCTGTAGTAAATTTTTTGCCTTCGGCTTAAGTGCTGTTAGATCTGGCTGAGTAGATGTCTGCCAGTGCTGGCGTCTGGTTCTTTTTTTATCTAGTGCCAAAATTTACAGCTCACCACATAGCATCAATTTAGCAGCACAGGTTTACATTTGCTGCCAGTACTTTCTGATGTCATGTAGCCTAGTGCCATGCTCCCACAGATTCACACAGCCCTCTTGGAGGCATGGGATATACCACAGGAAATGACCCACCAGCCTCCCTCATTAAACAGTGCCCTTTGAGTGGACTGAGAAATAACTGCTGTGTCCAACTGGGAAGAAGAACTTTAATTTAAGATGACTTCAAAAGAGCATAAGTCCAGGCATTTGAGAGGAAAACTTAAAAACCCATGAAAAGGAAAAATCTTCAAGATGCTCGTTATTTTCTCTAAGGGTTTGAGTTTGTCTGCAGTCCTTTTCTCTGAAGTTCCACTGGATTGGGACCCATTAAATGAAAGAGAACTCAAATTTGTTTGTGCTTCTCTTCCCTTCTCATTTTACAGGGACTTCAGCAGTGATTCTTTGCTTCCAGAATAACTTGTAACAGCATTCAGTGCCAGGAGCCCACGTAGTCAGTATTTTGGATAGTCCTACATCTTTCCTTCATGGTGCATGACAGCAAACATTGTAAAGACTTCCTGATCCGTGTTTGCTTTGTGTTTTTACCAATCCATATGCAAGTTTGCTATCGGATTGTTTCTCTCTTCTGTTGCCAACCTTTTCATTCTTAGAAGAGGTGCCAGTCCAGAAGAAGCTGAAATGACTTTTAAACTTGAACTGCTCAAGTTGTTTGAATTAGCTAGGAGCAGCATTATGCTTTCCACTTAAATTAGTTAGTCTTTCAGAAATTGTTAATGTGATGTGGATGTAAAGAAAGGACATGTAATAGCAGAACTAAACATACTAATACTCTTAAGCTGCTGGATTAAAAAAAAAAAAAAAAAAAAGCATATTTCAATCCTGAATTAACCTGATACCAGTCCTGAAGTGATGGAAATAAAGCCATGTTTCTGAAAATAGGTTTGGGGAAAAAATAACCCTGATGCAACAAACACTTCTCTTTTGGAATAGGATTTAGCTCTTAAAACACAATATTTTACTAATGAGGAATAAATGTCTGTAGACTGAGCTAAGCAGAGGTAGAAAAAAATCAAGAGAGGAAATGGTCTAAAGAGATGCAACCTATAAATAGCTGTGCTGAGACTGCAACAAAGGCTGCTATTGTTCTGTAACCAACAAAGAATGAAAGGACTGGTTTGTTACATTTGGTAACAGTACTTAATTGATAAGCAAAATCAGGGGTTTATGTGTAGAACAAGCTGAGGGAGGTTTCCAAGTACCTCTTAATTGAAGAGGGTTCATTGCAGTAAACTGCCTATGGATGTATTTGTAAACTTTAGTACTGGGTCACAGGTTAACCAGCTTTGCTTCTGTGCTGAAAGGTGTCACAGAATGGTCATTGGTTTTGCTGAGGGGGTTTTCTACTTAGCAATTCAATTACTAAGTCGCATCTAGGTAATGTATAAAGTATTTGTATATGTCGAGTTGAAATGGCAGCTCGTTCATCCAGCTGATAACTTGTAGCAGAAAACCTTACATGTGCATGCTGCTCCACTTCTAAATGTGACTTCCTTATGGAAGCTGCACCCCAAAAGTAGCAGTCTTATTTCAGGAACTGTCACTGAGCACATGCTTATAGATAAATAAGGGAACAACATCCTGGCTCACAGAATCCTTCCAGTGAGTACTTTTACATAACCTTACACAAAAATCTAACGGTGTTAACAAATATGGTGTTTGCATGGGGAAATCACAAACCTCTTGTGGCAGGCAGAGTCCATCTTGCATCAAGTCAAACAGCTTGGTGACCTTGATTGTTCTCCATGTTTCATTATAATCTGAATGCTTCACCCAGGGTTTGAGATGCTAATTTCCATTTTTTCCAGAGGATTTTTTTCCTCCCTGAAATTCCTAATTAGATTTCATGTCTTGATCTGAACGTCGAGTTCTGGGCCTATAAACAAGTCCTTTGTGCTCTCGCTGTACTTAAAAGCATGAATAGAAAAAATATATCCAAGTCAGAAGGCTGTATGACGCTGTTGCTGCTCCTCTGTCATGGATGTATTGAGGGACCAAAAGATATGAGGGTGAGCCTTGTAAAGCAGCAAGTGAGATTATGGTTGCAGTGGCATTAATGCAGATGTGCCACAAACTTAGAAGGGCCATTATGAAGGACAGCTGGGACCTTAAATTTATTTGCTGTGTTTTTAATACACAATTCTGTTTTGAATTCAGAAGCTAAGGGAGCTCATGGATTTGTAGCATAGATCTTGGTGAGAATTCAGGTACATTTTCCCTCTGTCACCTAACGACTCAATCAAAGGAGTTCATTTTTGCTGTTGGCCACTGTCTGCTTACATTTGTCTCGACAAATCTCAGCATGTCTTCTAGGTGATGGTGCTTTAATGAATGCATATCAGCTTTGTTTCTTATGGTAGCTCTAAATGGCAGATAAATTTTCTTATGTCTCGGTCTGTCAAGGACCGTCAGTAGGAGTTTAATAGTCTGTGCTGTGACTCACTCCATTGTATTCCACAGCATTATTTACATGGGTGTAAAGTTAATAGTCTAATCAGTGCAGGATCAGTGTCTCAGAGGGACTGGTTTTCTCTTCAGCAAAGATAAGTGTTGCCACTCAGATAAGATATGAAAATGTTTTACACCTGTCTTCTCAAAAGCTAGTTTGAAAACAAAGAGTAGACAGGTAAAATAATCCACTCAGGATAAATGTAAATTTCTTTAGGTTTACATTTGAATGGAAAGGGGTAGTTCTGATCAGTCTTATTGGAATGATTTCTTAGTATTTCTTCACAAATCTCTTTGTTCAAACATTCCTAAATACGAATAACGGAATGAATGAGTAAGTGAAGAAACGTAATGTCAGAATCATCTTCTTCCAACTGGTGCTTATTTTTGTTAAGCAAGGTGAAAAGCAAATTGACTTGAAACTTACAAAATGTTTTCTGTGCAAGGAGCTTTCAAGTTTCATGAAGAATGTGATTGATGAATAGTGTCTTCTGTCAAGCATGTAACAACTTGCTAAGCACATCAACTCGCTTGGTGCTGGAAAAAAGGAGGCATCCTCTGAGAGCTTTCCGTAGGCTCTTTCAGATTTTTTGCATAAGAGAAGTGATGAGGGCAAAGTACACTGAAAGATAAGAGGGAACAATACCTCATTACTGTCAGCCAGTGTTACCTCTTCTTTTTTAAGACTTTGTAACTTCAATTGAGCTGTGCTTCCTTGAAAAGAAAAAAAGAGTCATGTCTGCGCATTCAGAAGAAAGAGAGAACAGCTTTCCCAATGTAGGTGGTTTATTCCTCGTGCCCATCCCATGCATAACTGTTACTGACCTTACTGCAAACTCTATTTGCACAGATTTCTTAGGAGAGGTTAACTCATTTCTTCCATGCAAAACTTTTTATAACGGCAAACTAAATGATCATTCTCCTTGTTTATCTTCTCCTTGTTTATCTTTTCCAGTTACCAGTGTCTGGGAATTTGATTGACCTTTATGGCAACCAAAGCATGCCTCCTCCAGGACTTAACATCAGCAACTCCTGTCCGGCTAATCTTCCTAATATAAAAAGGGAGCTCACAGGTAAATACATCTCAAATACCACCTTGGAGGCATGGTGTAATCGTTTTGAATTCAAGTGATCCTGAACATAATTTCTGTTAAAATAAAGAAAACGTGGACGAAAAGTTACATTTTTCTTTGCAGCCAGTTCCTTAGCAGCAGATCTATTACCTGGTGATACAGTTTATATTTGTGTTAGGTGTGGGGTCACTGTGACAAATTAAGACAAAATCCTAAATTATCGCAGTCAGATCTGCTCATTTGAAACACGTCACAAGAAACTTGCATGCAGTTCTTGCAGAGCTCTCTCCTAGTTTGAGCCTATATCTTTGATCAGTGTTAACCAATCAAACATTAACAAGCTGACACCTGGAGTCTCTCTGGGATTCATGCTGAGGAATACTGCATGGTGTGGCTTTTTTCTAGTAGGGGACAGCAGTGAACAAATAACTTGTGAAATCTGGGAGTCAGTGTCCTACGTAATGAAACATGACACTTAAAAATATTTTAAATTGAGGTGAAAATGAAGTGTCCTCTGACGTTCTTGTCACGTCATTTCTTCTAGTAGCAAAGTTGATCTCATCTGAATAAGCTGCAGGAGTTAAGGGGAGGAAATGGGGACATTACTAACGTAGTTTAAAGGATTAGAAGGGAACTTCCATGTTCTCGAGCCTATTTTATTTTTGTTGTTTTGTTTTGCCTGTAGATAAAAGGATGTAAAAGTATGTAGGATACAATATATAAAGCGAACTTGTCTGCAAAAGATAAATGGAGATCTGTTGTAGAACCAGTTACAGAATCACCTTAATATCCACAAATGGTTGTTCTTAAGCCTAGCTGAGGTTGTGCTGTATGCTGGTGTGAAAACTCACAGGCTAACGCAGTTGCAGAGCAGGTTCTGGTTAGGAATTAGTTTAAGTAGAGCGATTTTAATAGCCCAGGAGTTAGCTTCTCAGGAGGAAATACCTCATTTCTGAGCTGGTGGATATTTGCGTTTATGTAACTGCACAGAATTTGAGTTCAGCACAAAAGGAAGACACACTAACTGCACAATGACTTGTGGCAGTTAGAAAAACTTGATCACCATATTAAACTATGTTAAGAGGAGGGTGGTGAGATCTACTCAAGTTCCTACGTTACACACAGCTTAATTGCTCCAGTTATAAAAAGTTACAGGTGGCTGTAGACTGTGAGCTAAACACCCAGCTTGCCAGATATCTAGTCTGGTGGATTCACTGCAGGTGATTGTGTAATACCTCGGGTAAAGAAGGCAGAAAAAGAAGGGAAATTAATGGGTGAAATGATTCTATGGGAGTCCTCAGTTAGTCAAAATAGACCTGAACATCAAATATCAACATTCAGCCTTTACCTGTGAACAGAAATGATTTAGATGAATTCTTTTTCTTTTCAAAACAAGTGGTAGCAGATTACATTGAACTTATAAGAAAGTTTAATTACTAAACTCAAATTGAACAGCAGTTGCTTTGACATTGATCTGGCCAAGCCTTTGACTACTGATAGTGTTTCCTGACGACTAGTGACTTTAATATCTGTATGGTATTGCAGACATAAGTCTAGGTAAGAAAGATTTATTCTTATGTACCACAGGAGCTTTCTATAGACTGTAGTTTAATCTGTACATGTACAAGTGTGGAATAGTTTTTGGTTCTCTATTTCTTGATAATGCCTGTAAGAACTAAATTGGAGCTAGCTTGCAATATTTAAATCTAGCATTTGTCATCCTAGTGTGTAAACATCAAAATGATAAAGAAAGAAAAAATCAATTCTGTTATCCCTGCATCTCATGTTGATGGTGGTTGTGAGTTGTCAGCTGTAGTTACTGAAGCACTTAATGGGAATCCTGCTCAGCCACAAGTGCAGTTTCAATCAGTTTTTTCCATACAAATCCCATGTCTGGTTTCATACAGCAATGTCAGATTAAGCCCAGATTTCTTTAAGATGTGCCATAATCTTTCAAGCTTTTTTGGGATCCTTTGGGAGTGTTTCACTGAGAAGCATATGTCTTATTACAGTGCATTTAATGCTGGGGTAGCCAACTTTCAGTACTCCAAGGGAAATGCCACCAGTTTTTGTGGATTGAATGAGACCTAATTCATATTCCATTAAAAAGAAAATAGCACAGGAAAGGATCTCATTTGAGTGAAGATTGAAGGATTTCACCTCACCTTTTCCAAAAGTTTAAAATGAATTAGAATAAATGTTAAAATAGTTGATATTGTTGGAGAAATGTAAGATCAAATGAGAACTGAAAATACAGCACTTTTAGTAGGTCACTTAAGTTATACCTTCTGCATTGTGGTGATGTGCATATAATACCATGAAAGGACATGGTCTCAATTCCAATGAGAAGAGCTTCTGACTCCTGGCTGCTTCACATCCTGTGCTGGGAGCAATGCCATAAGCATGTTGTTCTTCTAGTTCAGCATGTGCGTAAGTGTGTTGTCTGCATGTGTACATAGGAGAAAGGTATGTTGCATTTCAGCAACACGTTGTCCTCAAATATCCTACTGAATCAGGGCCTCCGTGGGAAATGTTCTCATCATGAAAGTCAGCATAGAAAATGTGGGAACAGAAGGCTCTGCAGGTTAAGCTGAATACCAGCACTGGGTTTTAGTAAGCACAGCTTGTGTTACAGGCCCTCCTCATTTCCTGGGGAGGGTGTAATGATTTATTTGACAATTATCAATCAATCTTTCTCTAATGTTTCACAAACTGAAGTGTTGTGTTTGAATTGCTTTAATTCTAATTACTTCATTCACATGCACAGCATGTATTTTTCCTACAGAGTCAGAAGCGAGAGCACTGGCTAAGGAGAGGCAAAAGAAAGACAATCACAACTTGAGTAAGTTTAATTCTTCACTTTTAACTTTTAAATTTTAGTAAATATTTTAGGCTTTAAGTATTAAAGTGCTAGATTTATATATCCTGATGATGTGCTCCATCGTTTGTAGTAGTGGTTCATTATTTTATTCCCATAAATAAAATATCTCTAATCCTCTTGAATAGTGTGCTTAAAACTACTATTCAACTTCCACTTTTTTTTTTGAAAAAAAGTTTAGTAAGTGGTATCATTCAAAGTAGGATTCTGTTTATTTGGACTTTTTCAAAAAGTATGCACTCAAAGTTGTTGCTGTCAGCAGAGACACTGAGAGCAACATCTAATCCAATTGCTTTTAACAAATTCATCCTGCACAGTTTGACTTAATATCTAAAATTTAAGATATATAGTCAGCTTATAGTGTTACACTGAGTAGCCCACTGATGTTTGACGTGTGTACTCAGAGTACATATTGTGGTGTCCCTGTTCATTGCAGGGGTGTTGGGTTAGATGGCCTTCGGAGATCCCTTCCAACTCCTAAGGATTCTGATTCTATATAAGCAAGTCTAAATTTTGTGTTCCTTTTCCTGCTTTAGGATTTCCTTGAGTGTATAAACTCCTGTCTCTGGATGTTGTTATACTTTTCCCTTGGAAAACATATACTTCTCATTCTTCTTGGAGTCCTATGCTAACAACCATTATATTTTCAGTCTCATTTTAGATTTGCCACTTCAAAAGCTTCACACTTTTAAAGTACAGATAGAACTGCTTCAGTGTGTCCATGCGTAGGAGAGCAAAATAACATTACTATGCTATGGATTTTAAGCTTCAGGCAACAATTTCAAAGGAGTTTAAAGAACTCTTTAATGAAAAATTTTCTACTTTGTAATTAAGTGAATATTGCTTGTAAAATTTGTGCTGTTTTCCCTACAGTTGAACGAAGAAGAAGATTTAATATTAATGATCGTATAAAAGAATTGGGCACCTTGATACCCAAGTCAAATGACCCGTAAGTATAATGTGCCCCAGGGTCTGTGGGAGGGAGGTGTTGAAAGAAAAAAGAAAACTTGGGAGAGAGGAAGAAGTTTTAAAGCATGAAAACACAAGTAAATATTTGTGATAAGTTCCCAGAAAGGCAGGTTGTAGTTCCTTTAAGTGATTTCAGTGTTCCTGACTTGACTTAACTTTTACCTAATGCTGGTTCGATAGCAGGGAGCCCTCCTTGCTCCAGAGCTTGAAAAAGCATCACCTAAATCAGAATCATTGAGGCTTTGGGGGAGAATTTCCATTATTTTTTAACTCATAGCTACTTCCTTAGAGGCTCTTCGGCTTCCTCTAAGGCAAGGCATTATTATGTATAATCAGCCTACAGAACAGGTGGATCTTTGGTCTGATAATCAATACTAAATTTTATTTGAAAAATTCAGTGGAAAAGAAGGTGAAATAGTGATGCAGGCAACCTCTGTGTGTGGTGGGAATATGTGGGAGAGGCAATATGGGAGCCCTGTGCCCCTCAGTGAAGAAGCTTCACACCTAGGTTGCAACCTGCATTTGTATTTTTAGTTAAGTTTAAAACTTCAAATTCTCTGCTGTATTGGACTTTTTTCTTCCTGCTATAACACAGCTGTGATAAAGTGCCACCGGAAAGATTACTTCAAGCTCGAGGACCTCATGACTCTTTCTACAGGAGCACCAGCTCATAAATGCTCCTTTATGAATGCGAGAATCCTTGCAGTCTTTTAATTACCCAGCTGAAATCAGGCAATCACCCCTAGAGCAAGCAGTATGATTTTCTTGAGTGGTGATTGTGGCTTTTTTTTTTTGCTGTTGTTGTGCAGAGAAAAGGGAAGGAGCTCAGGACTTCATCCCTGTGTGCAGTGCTGTTCCCAGGGCAGAGGGCACGGGCTGTGGGAAGCCCAAACCTCTTGAGCAGTGCTTGAGCTCTGCGTCCTTCATCTGGGACTGTGCTCACTGCGATTTGCCTTGCAAGAGCTGTGCTCTGGCCCCCTCTAGCGCATTTCAAAAGCCTTCTGCCTTCATCAGCTTGGCAGGAATATTATATAACATGGGGTGTAATCCTAGCTGCTGGTATGAAGGTACTGACTTCCACATGAAGTCTCCCTGAGTCTCTTAGCTTTTCCTTTTGTGTTGATTTCAAAGGGATATGCGATGGAATAAGGGAACTATTCTAAAAGCATCAGTGGACTACATCCGTAAGCTGCAAAGAGAACAGCAACGCACAAAGGAACTTGAGAACAGACAGAAGAAATTGGAACATGCCAACAGGCACCTGCTGCTCAGAATACAGGTTTGCTGATAAATAATTTGTGAGTGCTCTTGGTGTTGTAGTGTGCAGCTGCGAGTAGTTGCGACTGAAGTTCTTAGTAGGAATTTGGGCCGGGGGGCAACAATTCTAATTAATGGTAAGCAGTGCTGAGATGGCTGCAGGATTTTTATGAAATAAAGCAGGGTCCATTAGTTTTCAAAAGTAAAAAATACAAATCATGCACACAAAAAACAAACACACCAAACAGCTGAAGCCCTCTGCAGGCTGGTTGCTGTGTGCCAGGCTGGCTACAGGAGAGCCCTGAGCCACAGCTAATCCACAAAGCAGATAATGAAGCTAGAAATACCTGAGAGTCAAGTGTGGGAGCAAACAGCTTTAAAATAGAACAGCCTGGCATGAGCTTCAACGTAGCTTTTGTACTTCACTGAGCAGTCTGTTTGCTCGAGTGAGAAGATAAAGAAACATGGCCCTTCTGCGGGGCAACATCAAGCAGTGGTATTTCAAAGCCAAGTCAGATCACTTTTTAAGCATCTTTCATCTTCTTTTCCTTTACCCATCTGCTCTGGTTCCCTCTTCAATCAAAATAGCGTAAAAGAAAAAAACCAAACAAACCCTAGCCCTTGAATAATGGGAGATGTATCTTCCAGCAAATAACCTGAAGTCCTTATTTTCCCTTTTTGTGTTGATTTTGATTGAGTGTGGAATAAGGAGCTCCTGTGTACTCTGATTTTGGCACATTATCTGGTGGAATTGCTGCTGCTGCTTCTACCTTCTCTGATCCTACAGCATGCCATTATGAGCTTGTTGTCTTAGTGTGGAAATGGAAAGGGCTATTAATCAGCCTCAGTGATAAGAATATCCAGGAACAGGGCAATCACAACAGTGATTGTGACTGCTTAATGTAATGCATAAATAGAAGCAAAACATCTCTCTTGCTGCCATATTTGAAAAAGGGCACTTATTTCATTATCTGCTTTCAGTCGAATGCATCTGTGATGAAATGGGAGAGTGGGCTTTAAGCCTTATACAACCAGGATTCTTTGAAACTTTGTGTGAACTCCAAAGCCTTCCTATGACTTTCCCGTATATTTTTAGTGCAGGAGTAATATTGCTCAGTTCTGGCTGACCTCTTCACTTTCCCCTTTACAAGAGCTTCAGGGTGAGAAGCATGCATTGCAGTGTTGCAGCAGGAAGTAGCCACCTCATATGGACAAACTCTATTTTCCTATACAACTTTTAAAAAGCACGTAGCCTCTGTTTCTGCTATTTCAGTTTTTTTCAGCTCTTTCAGTGTCAAGCTTCTAAAGCATGATGCTGGCTTTAGAAGGGGCCTGAGGGGGAATGCATCTGTTCTGCAGGGCGTTGAGTTAGATTCTGAGAACTGTGAAGGACCTGTATTTTGGTAGTACTCATCCACCTCTTCAGGAGAATATTATGTGGATGAAAATCTGCAGGGTAGGAGTACGCAAGGTGCAGATGTTTGCTTCTATTAGAAAATGAAGAAGCAGTTTGTGTCCAACAAAAGAAAACTGTAGGTCAGGTTACACAAAATCATCAGATGACAGATTTTGCTTTCAGATTGTTAATTTCTCCTTTTATCCTCTTTCCCAGGAACTTGAGATGCAAGCTCGGGCACATGGACTGTCCCTTGTTCCATCCACAGGCCTTTGCTCCCCTGATATGGTCAACAGGGTCATCAAACAAGAACCTGTGCTGGACAACTGCAACCAAGACCTCATGCCGCACCACACAGACCTGTCTTGCACTACCACCCTTGATCTCACTGATGGTACCATCACCTTCAGTGACAACCTCGGAAACGTGACTGAACCAACTGGCACTTACAGTGTTCCTGCTAAAATGGGATCCAAACTGGAAGATATCTTGATGGACGATACCCTCTCCCCCGTAGGAGTAACTGACCCTCTGCTTTCCTCTGTGTCTCCTGGTGCATCAAAAACGAGTAGCAGGCGGAGCAGTGTGAGCATGGAGGACACTGATCATGCTTGTTAGCAAATACTTGGCACACCTTTCATAAACTGCTTTGGTTCTTGATCAGTAGATTAAATATTTTGCCTTTTGTAGAATTTTTTTTGATTTTTTTTTCTTGTGCTTCATCAGTAGCCCAGTGTGTGCGTGTGTGTATATATTATATATATAGGATTTTTTTTAGAATTTTTGTGAAGAAACTTGTATATTCTATTTTAAAACTACCAATGCCTCCGATTATATTGTACAGCATATGTACAGTATCTGTGAACTGGATTCGACAAGAACTTTTGAACTGGTCAAATCTACTCAAAGCAATAGAATTACAAATGACGAGTCTGCTTCTATTCGGGGGGAAGGGGGAGTCATAGAATTGTAAATGCAACCTATTTACGTGGAGACAAAATGTAAAGTTACAGAATGTAAAGATACCAAAAAAAGAAGTCCAATTTGTAATTGTATTGATTTAATAGTGCTGCCTTAAAGATACAGTGTCTCTCAAACTTTGATCCTTATAGACAAGTGTTTAGGGAAGAAAAAAAAAGCAAACCACTCCGTTCCATTCGGAATACGAGAAATAACAAAAGTGTTAAGAAATCCTCTTTGTGTTGTTGGTGATATAAAAAGCTCTTGCTGAAAATGAAATAGAAATTACAGGGAGATGTGAGTCTCTTCCTCAGAGTGCTTTTTGATTTTACTCTGAGCTGATTTGGGTTTTCCTTTTGATCATGGTATGACTTTCTTTTGGATTTTAGTTTTGTTTTGTAACAGGCATTGATGACTTGCCACCAGTAAACCAAGAAAGGAGCACTATAGATTGGTATGCACTCTTTGGACGATAATAATTGATAGGTTTTAACAGCTGGGCACATTACGTTGTACATATCTAATTGGCTTTTTTTTTTTAAATTGCGTTGTACAGTTTATTCTGATTTGCATGGGTTCCTCAGTTACCTTCAGCCTTTCGTTTTAAATATATTTGTATTTCCTTTGTAAGAATTTGCCTCTTAATATTGCAACATTTCTTTTTTTGACATTTTAAAAACTCATTGGAAGTTTTCTGCGTTCTTTGTAAACACTTGAAAGGAAGCTTTTATGCAGGGTTCTGTGTTTTAAGAGAGATTTTGAAAATATTTTGTATATTACAGTCTCACTTTGAAAATGTTTTTAAACACGTTTAAGGTAGAGTTCAAATGTAGATTAGGTAATAAACAAAACTTGTAGAGAAACTGAACTTACGTATTTATTTTTAGTGATACAGAAGTAGTAATATGCTTGGAAACATAACTATGTAGTAGATATACCCCTCATAGTAATTTGTGTTTTATTTCAGCACTGGCGCTGATATAAAAAAAAAAACAAAAAAAAAAACAAAAAAAAACCCAAAAACAACAAAAAAAGAGTAAATTACTGTATCTGCAAATAACTGTTACTTGATAACAATGTTATTAATTTTTAACATGCAACAATGTTGTAAAAGTAGTTTGGTGCATTATCTACTCAAGTGTAGTCCTATGCAATAACGGTAGTTATACTTGTATTATATCAAGCCTAGATGTTTTACAGAGATGACATATGGTGTTAGGAGCTAGACTGATTGAATGGATTTCTCAATAGCAGCCTACAAATGACTTGCAAGTGGCAGGCAAGCATATCTCATTCAGAATGAAGTGCCTTAAACTCTAGTTGTAGTCTTCCCCGACTAGCACTGACTGAAGTGTGACATAGGAGAGAGCAAAGGGTGTTGTTTGTAGGAGGTTGAAGTATGGCGTGGTGCCTACGTGTAGAAAACAAGAGCTTCCCATTCTCCTTTGTGCTACACTGGAAATGATAGAGAATAAAATAAAGTAAAAACTAAACATAGCAGAACAGTTAATGACTTGAGTGCCAATTTGGCAGGCTCTGTAAGGAAACCATGGTCACAACGGTTGCAGTGCTCAGAACTTCAATGTGAATTGACAGGGATGGGGAAGCACTGTAGCTGGGGAGTTCTGTAGCTGTGCTGGGGCTCGCTGAGCTCTCAGGTGAGCATTTTTCCTACAAAGGCATCCTGGAGTGCCTGGCCCCATGACTCCTGGTGCTGGCAGCAGTGGTTATGGGGCTCGGCAGGGTTGCAGCTTTCTGTGATAGTGCTTTGGGGTTGCTCTGTCCCTGCATTAGCCTGGATGCAGCTGCTGGGTTGTGGCTTTTTTGAAGGAGGAACTGGAGTTACGCGATAATGATGCCTCACCCCAGACAGTTTTTGGAACTGTGTCTTTCCTTTGGTGGGTGAAGCTCTGGCCTGGGGAGGATGTGCTGGCAGGTGAAGATTATCAGGGCTGTGACATGACATGACTGTGACTGTAACACAGGGCTGTGTTACCTTTCCTGATGGTAAATGGTAGCTTAAAATGGAGCAGTTCTGTAGCGTTATGCAATGAAATCAGGGTGTGCTCCCATGGGTGTAGAAACTGAAAACCACTGAGTATATTGAATAAGGCTTTTAGTTTGATGTCTATGCTGGTCATTCAGAAACTGAAGTCTAAACTGTGGTATATAAATACTCTTCATGCTTACATGAAGCCACTGGTACTCAGTGGCAGCCCTGACTTCTGAATTTTGGCTCTGTGCTGTGTGGAGGTGAGTTAGGACTCCAAGCTGTTGTATCAAGAGCTGTGTTTCTTGCTAAAAGTGATAGTGACTGCAGCAGTGGGACCATGTGTTCTGTGTGCTGTGTTGCTCTGGGGTAACACACAACTCAGCTGTGACAGTTTGTTGTTCCCCCACCTGTTCCTGTAGGCCACAGCCCTCTGAGTTTTCTCATTTTTGAGTGGAGACACGTTCCTTGTGCAGTGGGGGACACCTCCAGGAGATGCAGACCTCTTGGGTACTTGGTGATGTTATTCCCCTTTTGTGCACTGTGGGATGTGTGTGACTCTGATATTTTACAGGGGATCCCGAACAGAGGGCAGAGACAGCAATTAGAGGCAGAGATGGAGCAAGATGGACAGCTGTTGCCCCTCTGCCTCTCTGATGATGTTGTGGATGACACTGGGCCCCAGGGGTTGGGGTGCTGACCAGTTCTCACTTTGCCAAAGCTATGCTACCACCAGGAACGTGCAGAGCACCGTGGAGTTCTTCCTTTCTGCTTTTGGCCTAGAAAGCAATATTTAACTCTTACGACCTGTAAAAGCAAAAAAGGTACGCAAGGAAAGCACAAAGCACAAAATAATGCACTTACGTTTATATTTGTTTGACATAAAATGCACTGGGGGGGAAGCTGATGTTGATAATAGTATAAATACCTATATTTCTTGAAGAAGTGACATTAATTACTGCCTCTTGCTATAATGCTTGGTACTGTAATGTTGATATTCATCTGCTGTTGACTGCAGCAATAATTTGTGTATGGTCCATAGCACTGTAAATTATGGATCAATATTAATGTATCCAATGAAATAATTTGAACTGTTGTTCTTGATAGATGGATTAAAGCATTTGGTTTTTCACATACGTGTGTGTAAGCCACTCGTTTTCTGTGTAAGTGAACCTTGTTGATTTCTCTGTGCGTTCGAAGTCCCAGCCGTGCTCCCGTGTCCGTGCCTGGCAGTGAGTGTCTCCATGTGCCTGGTGTCACCCCACATCTGGCTGCACCAGGGCTGTCCAGTTGTGTGTGTATTGCTGTAGCACCAGGGGCTGAAGCTATGGAACAGATCTCGCATGGGAAATACATGCAAGGAAGCAACGTTTAACACCAAAACCTGTCTACCAGATTGACCCCAAATTACGGCCCAGTGTAAAGAGAAAATGTGGACACGTGTCATTCTGTCTGTCCCCTTCACTGGGCTCTTTGGCCTCATACACCAAGGGGCCATTTGCCCAGACCACCACCACCAGCTGCCACGTGCCAGGCATGGGCTTGGCAATGCCTTGGGACACCCGCAGCTGTCCCACTGTCACTGCTGCTGGGCCGCATCCCTTGCAGGAGCCCTGCACAGCCTGCCTGCTGCTTGCCCCCAAAACCTCCTGGGTCATGCCTGGAGCTACAGCCAGCACTGGTGAGGAGATTTGTTTTGTCTTCCACCCTCATCACTTTCCTGTCTCAGATGTTGCTCTCATCCATCCCAGTCCTGTTCCTCCACAGGCTGTGCTCACACCGTGCAGTCCTCGCCTTCTCTGTGGATGTTGCTGTGGCAGCGGGTGTAGTTAATGTGTTGTCCCAGGGCTTTCAAGCCTGAAATAATTACAACAAAATGCACAGAATTTTTGAAATTGGCTTCTTGAAAGTCCATTGACTACTGAGGTACACAAAATGCTTGTTAATTCAAGTTAATTTAATCTGCAAACAAATCGATTCACCTGACTTTGCTAGGAAGAAGCAGAAAAGTGCTGCACGTTCTTTGCAGAGGATATTTGAGTTAGATGTTGTGAGTGCTTCCAACAGGCTTTGCAGGGCTGCCCCTTTACAAGTTCAGTTCTTTTTTAGGATGTGGTGGTGTGGTTCTGCAACGGTCAGTTTTGTTGTCAGAAACGCAGGATGGCTTTTTCTAGGTTAAGTTGGAGTGGTTTGGTGTATTTTGGCTTGCGTGGGATCAACTCTGTTAGCATTTTGGGAGTTCATTTCTAGCTGGTGGTGGTGGGAGCAGCTCTGCTATCTTCGTGCATTGTGGCTGGATTGCAGGACCACGAGAGGAGTAGGAAGAAAATTTGGCTGGGTTTAATAGCTGTAAGAAGTTGGTTGGACTATTACAGTGAAAGACGACAGCAGTGCTCCTTAGGAGTCTTTTATTTCCTTTAGACAAGCCTGAAAAATTCTGTACAGGAGATGACGATGGATGGATGAGGTTGCCAGCGCAGGTAAGGTCTGGCTTGCAGGGAAAGCCAGCTGTGGGCATTGGGATGCTGAACTGCAGGGCTGGACCATGCAGTGCTGCATCCCCGTGTCATGCTGTCCTCCCAAGGGACTGCCTGGTGTCCCCCTGTCCTATTTGGATGGAGTGTTGGACGTTCATTAAAGCAATGGGAACAGTGGGTGTGCAGTTTTAATGAGGGCAGCATCCATCAGTGGGCTCAGAGCTCAGTAAAGATGCTGGCTGCACCTCAGTGCCTGCAGACCCACAGCATCTCCTGCAGCTGCTGCTGTGCTCCGAGATGTTTGCTCAGCCAATTTAAATACATTTAGCCAGAATCTTTCTGTATCTGTTCCAGACCCCTGGCCTGATCCCTGTTCTACATAGGGTATGTTGAACACTACTATTGATAGTCACAATAACTGTTGTACAGTTGATCATTAACAATTATGTTCTCAGAGCCCTGAGAACAGCTGAGAAGCGGTTTGCAGAGCACACAGATGGGACAGAAGTGGCTTCAGAACATGCACATAGTAAAGGATCCCCAAAGGCTCTCCCACCACCGATGCAGTGTTGTGCAAACAGCTCTATGAAGGACTTGGGATGGGCAGAGTGCAGCTGGGTCCCGCACGACTTTCTGCATCTTGGAGCAATGCACCATGGAAGGTAATGGGAAAATAAGAAGTTTCTAGGTTTAATGATGATAGTTCAATTTGAAAAGCAGGAATTACAGCTGAATAAATGAAAATAAATAAATTTTAGACGTGCGCACACACAAATGTGTTCCATACAATGAGGTGTATTTTAAAAAGTTCCTGCTTTGTTAATAATATTTTCTGCCTCCTTCCCCTGATCTTTCAGTGACAAGCCTGGCAGAGGCACTCTTTATCAGATGCTGAAGCAATTTAGTTGCTGTCACATGCCTTTCTTGATATACACGTATTAGTCACACAGCCTTTTTATGTTCTTTAGCATATTTTAGTATGTAATTAAAAACATGGCTATCTGCTGCTAAGCAACCAAGCATGTCAGAGGTTGATTATATTCTGTCACCTGCAGGAGGAAGGGGGTAAAATAATAATCGGTGTTGATTTTTTCAGTCTTAATTGAGCTCTGGCTCCTGTGATGTGTTGTTACACACAGATCAGTTCCTGAGGACATGTGTGTGGGGACAGCTGGCAGTGACCCACAGCCGTGTCCCCATCACCAGTGTCAAATGGTTCTTAGATGTTGGGCTTCTGGTGGCGATGTAAGTTGTGGCTCTTTGGGTTCCTTCCTGTTGGGCTGTGCAGAATTGACCTCCCATGGGGCTGGAGTGCCTTTGGGTCTCTGAGTGTTCACAGTGAGTGATGAAGTGGATGTTCATCAATCTGTCTCTTGAGCATTTGCACATATACACACACGTGTTGCATGCATCAGTGGAATCATTATTCTAAAAGTTGTCCAGTATTAATAGCTTTTATTGCTTCAGCAAAACAGAATCCAGTACATCAGCACAAACTGATAAGATAGAAAGAAAGAAACAAACAATAATGCCGTAAATAATTCAGAGGCTGTTTGTGGATTGTGATTCTTTTGATTCAACCTCCAGAGAGGATGACATTGCCTTTACGTTTTCCACAATCAGCATGTGATACATTGCCTGTCCTGTGCCTGCTGGGACCCTTGACATGGTACTGAGGCTGCTCGGAGTTGACAAACTTAGTGGGTGTCCCCTGACTTCTCTTGGCTGCCCCAGGTGATCCTTTTCACCTGCAGTGGGAAAAGCCCACTGTTGTTTCTGGTTCTTGCAATTTTGAATGTGCCAAGAAAATGAACTCAGAATGCCAAATTCTGAGGGATGTACCCCAGCTTGATATAGCATGGAAATTTTATTTGGTGACTTTGAGATATTCTGCTTCTTTTCTATTCTCTAACAGCCAGCTACACCTATTAACTGCAGGGCCCAATGGGCAGCAGTGGGACAGTGCTGGACAAGGTCATGGATTAACCAATGAAGGGGACAAGTCCCACTTCCCACCAAAGGAGACACAAAGCTGCTAAGAACTACAGTATGGGCATTGTTTGTTTTGACTGTGAGTGATCCTCTAACAAGTTCCTTTCCAACTACAGCAATCACAGTAGGCAAACTAGGCTGATAAACTTGCTTCAGAGAGCTCAGACGCTTTCATAATTCTGCAGGAATTCATGCTGCTGTATTCATTCTCCCTTAAATTCAGCTCTGCCCACCCACCCACGGTGTTGAGCAGCTCTGGGAGCAGGCAGGATGCTGGGCATAGCTGTGCAGCACTCACAGGATGGCTGTCCCCTCTTCCAGCATCGTCCTGCAGTCCTTAACCCACAGCTTGTAGGCACCTTTCAGTGTCTCCTCGCTGATGTCATTGAATATCTCTGTAAAACAAAGCTTGGAGTTAGCTGGGTGTCCAGGGAAGCTTTTCCTGCTGTTCATGATAATTCCCTAGGATGAGGACTCCTCTGAGCAGTTTATAAGAGCCTGTTTTGTTGGGAGTGCACAGAGGCTGAGATTGGTGGAAATATTCTGGGTATGGATGTAAGGCTGCAGCCTGGTCCTATGCATTGCTTCTGCATTAAGATTTTTTAATGTCTTATAAGTAAGAATATCTCACCTGAGTTGCTGAACAGATATTTTGCTTTCCAGAATTAGTTCTAGACATCAAATTCCTTTCAGCAAGGACAACTTAACAACTATTTTCAAGTGTAATGAAGGTTCTTTTTCCTTGTATGACTCTGATGGTTTGTCTGTCCTAGCACTGTGTTCAGGCTGTTGGTTTGCAAAGCAAAACCAGTCAGTACCCATCCAACTCCTGGTTCCACACTCAAACCCTATGGCTGAGAGAGATGTCCCAGCACTCCCTGAGCTCTGGCTCAGGGGCCGTGCCCACCTTTCCCTAACACCCAACCAGAGAGAGCAGAGATCAGCGCCTGCCCTTATGAGGGAGCTGTAGGCTGCCATGATGCCTCCCCTCAGATGTGACCCACTGGGTCTTGGTCCATTCTAAAGACCCACGCAAGCGGGCTCAGCCTTCCAGCAGGATTGCTGTGATGCTAAGGAAGGACCACAAACACCTCCATCGTGCTCTTCAGCACATCCCCATGCTCTGTACCTGCCACGCCGAGGCCGGTGGGCAGCGGCATGCGGGGCTGCCCTCCTCCGTGCCGCAGGCGCTCTCTCAGCGCCGCCTGGATGAGGGCCCAGCTGCAGGCACCGTGCCACACAGGCAGCTCCAGGCCCCGCATGCACTGGATGATCTGCTCCTTCTCTTCCGCCGTGATCAGCCCCCGCGTGTGGGCCACGTACGTCATGAATGCCATATCAATGGTCACGGCTTCTCCGTGCATCAGCGATGGCAAAACCCTCTGAAATGGAGTAAAGGGAGGGTGGGAGAAAAGGGTTGGGTTGCTGAGTATACGAATAACTACTTATTTTCTAAAGAACCCATGAGAATTAACATTCAGCTCTGAGCTGTAGTAGCATGTGTATGCTGTGGGTCAGTACCTTGTGATTTACGGTTTGCAAAGGATAGTCTCTTTTACATGTGATTAATGGCATGTTATATCTCCCACAGGGATCCAGGATCCAATTCTCCTGTTCAAATTACTGATGAAGTGCACAATAGGATGGAGAGAAGAGCTCTGAATTTTGCATAAGGTCTTGATCTCCCCACTCATTTCTCAGTGGCAATTTTGCCCCCAGCAATATGGGCTGTGGTCTCTGTGTCTTTGCACTCGTATAGTTAGTGCTGGTGGTTTCTAATGGCTCCACTGAAATCTGGTCACCTCTGTGCCTTGGTAGATGCTTGGCAAGAAAGCAATAGCAACTTCCTGAATACAGAACACAGCTGGGCTGTGGGGGAAATGGGGCAGCAAAATGCATTTCCTGAGCCAGCAGGACCAGGCTGGGTGTATTGGGTGCTCTTCAG